TTTATAAAATGCTGTCCCCTTTTTATGCTGGAGATTCATTGAGACTCCTGTTCTGGTTACCTGAATAGTTCTTACGAAATATCAATGCAGTGCTGTATTTCAAACCTCAGCTTTTACTTTTAATAAACCCGAATAAAGTGTAATGTCCTTGTCAAAGTCATGCTATGAAGGCGATATGCAAATATTAAATACGAGAATGGAGAATAACTGAAAGGTATTAAGTAGAAATTGCAAGTAACTGCTGACAGTGCCTGAAAGCTAATGATGCTAATTAACAATATTCCCAGGGATAGGTTCACAGAAGGAATGGGGAATGCAACAGCACAGGCTTGACTTTTCTGCTTTCTTCATGGAATTCTTATCGAATATAAATTAAGTCAGAAAATGGCACTCTCTAATTAGGATGGCTAAATAGCAAAGAGAAGACAAAGTAAACAAGGAGTGGTACCTTCCTCAGAATAAATTCACAAACAGCTTCTTGTATTCATTAAAGTGAGTTTGCAACGTAAAGATACCACGTATTTCCCTTACCTTTATTAGCTATCAAGGGAAACAGACCAAGTGTAAGTTACAGGGTTATTTAGTCAAGGAAATGGATTCAGTCTGGTTTAGAACATAAGAACATTATGAAAAAGCACTGTAGTATGTATCTTTCTTTAAGGGTTTGTGTACCTGTTCTGTGACCCTGATGAATCACAAACTTTGCAAGGCAAACCACACCACAACAACTATTTCCTCTTGTGAATTTGTGTTTAAAAAAATGGAAAAATAAAGGGAAGTTCAGGAGATGGCATTTCTTAGTAGTGCACTCACAGCAAAGCATGCAGAGCAGAACAGCCAGATACCACAACAATTATTTCCTCTCATGAATTGGTGTTTTAAAAATGGAAAAATACAGGGAAGTTCAGGAGATGGCATTTATTACTAGTGCACTCACAGCAAAGCATGCAGAGCAGAACAGCCAGAAGGCAAGCTGTCCAAGGGGCACAAAGGGTGTGTGGGGGAGAGAGCCCCAGGAGGATGGGGGGTACCCCGCCTGAGAAACACCCTGCAAACACCACCTCTGCTGCACCCACTCAGAAATGGGGGTCACGGTCACCCCTTGCTCCAGGAACCCCTTCCTGCAAAAAGCAGAGAACACTTGGGAGGATGACCCAAATTAAAATGTCAAGAGGGACATCAATCAGGGACTCGAGAGGGAAGCACTGACAACATGACGGCAGCCCCAGCTCGGTGAGCGCTCGGCTTCGGAACAACTTTGTGTGTTTGGCTCACCTTGGACACAGAGGATTGGCTGCTGGAACCACAGATGAACTGGGAATACTGAGTTCTTTAACAGTATGAAAGTCCTCAGGTGGCAAACATTAAGAGTCACTTAACGTGTGTGCTGATCTCCACTTTGGTTCCCCCATTTGTAATTTTTTTCCTTGTTCAAACTGATGGATGAACCAAACGCTTTTAATTATTTCCAGGGTATGCCCTTCAGAATTGCACCGCTTTCCCCCTATACAGTACTTCTGTCCAGAGACTCCCTCGCTTCATTAAGATGGAAAGTCATTTCAGTCACAAAAAGCCAGAGTAATCATGTTTTAATCAACCGAAGTGCACAGAAGCTGCTGCCACCGCAGGTACCCCACGAGGCAGAGGCAGCACGATGCTGCGTTGCCATCCTACAGGATGGAGAAACCACAGACTCACCTGCTTTAGAGATCCAAAGCTGATGGTCCCACTTAAATTCAGTGCCCACCCCTCTGAAGCTCCCTGGGATTGAAAAGCACAAGACCCTCATAAAGTAACTCAGTTTGTGCACAACAGTAGTGCAGGAGAGGGGAAAGGGGCTGAAGGGCTATGGTTTGGGGAAGTATTCTACTTCACAACTGCTTGAGAGGAAGCCACAAGTCAAAGTGCCTCAAACAGATTGCATTTGAACTATTAAAAACTGCATGCTTGGCAGTGGTAGGAATGAAACAAAAAGCTAAGAACTTGGGAGGAATGAATTATCTGATTTACAAAGGAATCCACATGAAGGAAGGCTCATAAAGGGATAAAACCCCCCTATCCCTCAGTAACTCAGCAGGCTCCTTACGCTTCCCAAACGAGGGAAATAGGAGCTCTTTACTTAGAATCACAGAATCGTCTGGTTGAAGGGACCTTCCAGCCCATCTAGTGTATTCCACAGATCAGTTAGATGCAGCCAACAAGCACACACTGCTCACAGCAGCCCATTAAGGGATGGAGGCACAGATGCAGACGTGAAGTTATCATTTTTATTAAAAAATATTTCAGCTGTAGTACAGTCTCAGAACAGAGCAAAACACCAGAGGCAAACCAAAATTAGGTCTTGGAGCAGAGACAGAGGAGAAGGCAGGGAGGCAAAGCTACATAATGTTACACCAGGAAGATGAAGGGCATGTTATTGTGTCCCTAGTAGCATTTTTAAAAAAAAACAAGCAAAGCTCACAATGGGTTTGCCTGTACGGCAGGACTGGGTGAAGCACAAGGCTCGTATTTCATGAAAGACAACAAAAGGAGACATAAAGCACAGGCCAAGCTCAGGTCTGGAAAATCAGGGCTGCACAGTGGGGAGAGAAAAAGAGCATCAGCGATGTACAACTGACAGACCCTGCTGTCCCCGGGCTGTTTCCCCTCGGTGTGACCACCAGTGAGGTGTTGGCCATCGTCCTGCCTGGCACCAAGCACCCAACGATCACTAACTTCACCTGGGTGCAGCAGGCACCAGTGATTTATTGGTGGCCAAAAAAAAAAATCAAATTACCATTTTGGCAATAAGATCTGAGAGATGGTAAGTAACACGGACAGTAAAGCCACAGCGTAACATTAAATTTAGATTTTGACTAGAAGAGTAGAGCTGTGCAATGGAACTTCCCCGAGTTCACTGCACTTAAGAGGTTTTTTTCCCCATGTAGCTTTAAACCTGAAGTGACAGACTGCATCGTAAGGCAGCAAGAAGAAGCCAACTTTAGAAGTCACAAATTCAGAAAACATTGAAGAGATTGGCAAGTGCCTCGCCAAACATTTACATTAAACATAAATTGTTGTTCTGATTACATCTGAAAGCTAGTAAATGAAGAATCTTTTTTTTTTAAACAGTTACTCATCTCCTACTCGCATTTATTTTTAATTTCTTTAAGCACAGCATATCAGTGCAAGGCATTAATATCTGAAATTAGTTACCTTTATGAAACACTACTATAAAAATGTCATAATTAACCTCAAAAAAGATAGGTCTCATACTTTCTCTTTGAATGTTTAAAAAAATTACATTTTTAATGTTTTAATTTTTTTTTATTTTAATAATTATTATGCATGGCAGATATATACCAACTTTAACAGGAAATTACACAAAGTGCGTGGGTTTGCTACAAGCTATCACTGTTCCCACTGAGGTCAGAACAAATGACCACAACTAAACAAATCTGGGGGAAGAAAAGCCTCATGTAACTTTCATATTGCAATTTGGGCACAGCAAATGCTTCCATATTTCCATCTGATTCTGTCCAAAGAACTTGCTCAGTTTTCTGACAGGTGACCAAAGCCTTTCCTCACCTATTTATGGTCTCAGTTGTGAGAAGCTCAAAATGCTTTCAGAAATGGGGTAGATTTGTAGATATTTTATGACCTTATCTTTCAGGGAGGGCTACCCAGCCATTCTCCTCCCTTACACTGGCAGCCATCACTGGTTCACAGCAGGAGAAATATTTAAATATGTAAATTCTCACCTTTGACAGCACCAATAGCCAAAGTAAATCCCCGTGATCCGTGACAGAGGACAAGGCATGACTTAACAATAATCAATCCAGCTTAAAAGACCAAAAATTAAATACTTGAAAATGAAATACAATGGGACTGAACAGAACGGGGACTACAGTCTGTAATAACATTATTATGAGAATTCCTAAGTGCATTATATTACTTATGCACAAGAAACCAAAAAATATCCATAGAAAATGAGCAGAATTGAACAACCCACACCACCAGACTAAATTTCTTAACTGTGTGAACTTTTCAAAACTGTACCTCACATGTACGATTTCTGCCTGTACGAGAAGAGACAGCATAACAATATGCGGAATTTATAAGGAAAATAGTATTTAATTTCAAGCTCTGCCTGAAGAAAGCCTACAGTAAAAGGTAAGGAACTACTCCAAGTCGCTGCATCACCCATGCCTTAGAGCAGAGGCCGAGCAGCCAACACAAATCCAGCTCAAGTGGCTTAAAGTTAGGCCTTTGGGGTTAGCAAAAAGAGAGGTGACATCTGCTGACAAACAGAACACTTCTATGGTTTAAACAGATTGCCCAGGCTCTGTTTGGTCAAACACAATTCTGTGCTGTTATGTCCCTCCAAAACCCCACCAACGTCACCTCCATGACACACAGCCCCCCTTGAGGGGGTTCAGTTCTGCACCAGAGGCTGGTGCTCGGTGCCAGCTGTGGCTCTGGTTCAGTTACTGCCCTGCCCAGTGCTGGTGAACCCACACAGCTGTAGGTGAGTACCCAAAGAACAGCCTCTTTGTAGAGCTTTAACCTGGGATCACAAATCTCAGCTGCTTCTCGTTCTGCTCCTGCCCTTTTAGCTGATATCTAAGCCATCACTTTTCCCCACCTGTAACAGGGAGGCAGAGACACCCACTCCATTTCACAGCCCTTACAGAATCACAGAATCTTCTAGGTTGGAAGGGACCTTAAAGATCATCTTGTCCAACCGTCAACCTGACTGACAAAAATAGACACCCACACCACAAACAAGGAGCATCATCACTAAACCATACAACACCTCTAAGCAAAGAGCCCTTCCAAGGAGTGCTGTTACCATGAAATATATATTAATTATGATTCACTGTTGGTCTATTTATCATTGTATTAACAGAACTTGTTCCCGTTTTACTTCCTGAGAGGACACACTGTCATCAGGCCAGCAAAAATGAAACTGATGCTTTTATTTTTACTAAATAATGACTTCAATTTCTTTCTTTCTTTAGGGATAAAGTATAACATGGGATTCCAGCAACCAAAAAAGGTTAGTTTCCAGGTGTACGTAAGGAAAACTGTACCCATATTCCGAGTATGGCCAGGGGTGGCTCAGAGCAGGGAGACGAAGCATCGAAAAGGAAAGATGCATCGAAGCTTTGCCACAAAGTGCAAATTTTCCGTTTAAAATACGAATTTGATAAGCTGTGCAACTGTAGTTTCAGGGTTTTTTCCCCCAGCCCGGATATTGCTCAAAGCCCCCGTTAACTCTGCATCTGCCCAGCCGGTACCGGCGGGCGGGATGTCGGGAGCGGCCCCGGGAGCGGCGGCGGCGGCGATGGCTGGGGAAACCCCTCCATCTAGCGGCGGCAAGTGTCTGTAACACCGAGCCCTTCTACCAGAGCTCTGTGTAAAGTTACCATTTCAACCGAGTCACCTATAACATAATACAATTTGATTTTTTTTCCTTTGTCACCAACGGGTTTTGTAACGAATTCCGAGTTTTGGGGTATTTTTTAGACTTTTATTAATCTCTCACCCCTTAAGAAGTACGTGGCAAGGTCACAGAATCACAGAATTGCCGGAGTTGGAAGGGACCTCTAAAGATCCCCTGCTCCAACCCCCCTGCCAAATCAGGAACACCCAGAGCACATCACTCAGGAGCACCCAGGCGGGTATAAGATATACCCTCCACTTGTGACAGCACAAGTTTCCCGAGCCCTCAATAGCATCTCTTTTTCCAGCCAGAGACTTGTAAAATCACTATTACAATTAAGATTTAATTTGCCACCTTGAAAGAGCATGACACTACTAATCCCACCTTAAAATTCATCCAGCACCTCATCTTTGAAGCCAGTTTTAAATATCATCAGGGAGAAAATAACAACTGAAAAATCAGAAATTTGTAACTGATAAAGCCTCTAATAAACATTAAGTATTTTAGGTGAGCTGTAAACATGCTGCAGCTCCATCTGCTTCCCTGGCTGGAGTACTCCCCCGTGGCTCATACGCCACTCGGCTCACAGGTGAGTTCTCAAAACAGGGCTGACACGTAGTTAAACATGTCCAGGACCTAATCCCAGGCTCAGAGGTACACACACAGACAGGGATTTAATTCAGCTGCTTGGAGAAGCGGGAAGCAACAGAGCCCATCTGGGCCGTAGGAACCAGAGAGATCCACCTCATGGCAAAGAGGAGGTCGCTTCCCACAGGCTTCACTCAGTGCCCAGCTGCCCACACTGCAAAGAAAAGCTACTGAAAGAGGGGGAAAAACCAACAGATCTGTGTGACAACAGGCAGGCTGGAACAGCCAAGTCAGTTCCCAAAACACTCAGCTACCTTTCATGGAAGTTTCAAAGACAATATACCCAAGACACAGGCATCTATCAAAGCCTGGGTACAGGCACTACCCAAAATACGGTTAAATCCAAATCTGAACTAGAATTTACCAGTTTGGGCTCGTCTCAGCCTTTGAATTGCATGTGAGCCCTGAGGAAGGTGCCAAGAGAAGTCGTTACCCCAGGGAAGGCACAGCCCTGAGGACTCACGGCGACGCGTCCTGTTCCCAGTGCTGAGCTCAGACTGTACAAACAGCCCCACAGTCGGTTGTACAAGCTGTTAATAGTGACAAACACTCTTCTCATTTACTAACACCTTTCATCTTTCTCCCCCCCGTCAGGACTGTGTTTCCAGCAATAACCAGGACAGAAGATTAAGAAAAACCACTGCAGACGGAGCAGGGACGGTAAAGCAGAGCGATCCATCACAAATCCTGCTCCCCAAGCCTCAGAGCACAGAGAGGAGACAGAGCAGCAGCATCATGTTTGCCATGAAAGATCAACAGCAAGGGGAAGAAATGAATTCCATCAGGCTCCACAAACGGAGGAGGAGATTTATAATTAAGAAGAGCCCCATTCTGATTTCCATGAACAGCTCCGGTCTCAACCTGCCCACGCTTAAATCCGAGGACAGAACCAACAACAAGTGGAAAAGCCTCTATCAGATCCAAAGAGAAAGAAAGCGGGTCATGAGGGAAACTTGCTCCAAATACAAGAGTAATAACAGAAGAATAATCACTCCTTATCACGTTTCTAGAATATTTGTAGAAGACAAATACAGAGTTTTATACTGTGAAGTACCCAAAGCGGGCTGCTCTAACTGGAAACGGGTGCTCATGGTGCTCAACGGGCTGGCGTCCTCCACCAAGGACATCCAGCACAACACGGTGCACTACGGCAACTACCTGAAGAGGCTGGATGGCTTCGATCACAAAGGGATTTATCACAGGCTCAACACTTACACCAAGATGCTTTTCATTCGTGAACCTTTTGAAAAGCTGGTATCTGCATTTCGGGACAAGTTTGAACACCCAAACAATTACTACCACCCGGTTTTTGGAAAAGCTATCATTTCCAGGTACCGCGTGAATGCCACCAAAGAAGCGCTAAGGACAGGCTCTGGAGTCCAATTTAAAGAGTTCATTCAGTATCTGCTGGACGTACACAGGCCGGTGGGCATGGACATCCACTGGGACCACGTCAACAGGCTTTGCAGCCCCTGTTTAATAGACTATGACTTCGTTGGAAAATTTGAAAGTATGGAAGAAGATGCAAACTTCTTCTTGCACTTAATCGGTGCTCCACAAAATCTAACTTTCCCCAAGTTCAAGGACAGGCACTCCAATGAAGAAAGAACTACCCCTAAAATCACACAGCAGTACTTTGCACAGCTTTCTCCTGCGCAGCGACAACGCAGCTATGACTTCTACTACATGGATTATTTGATGTTTAACTACTCAAAACCTTTTGAAGATTTATATTGATTTGAGAGCTGGGACATCTCCACAGTTGTACCCACTGAATGGCAAATCAAACCCAGGTGGCTTCTGTTGATATGTACTTGTCTGGTAGGAACCGATTGGTTGAAGAGCAGGGAAAAAACCCAAAACAGAACATAAATGGCTAGTGATGTTTACACCTTCACCTTAATTGCCTCCTTTTTCAAATCATATTTTTTCTATAATTTCTCCATACGAAATGTATGTACATAGATGTATAATATTGTATGTCAGGGCTCCCAAATAAAGCACATAATTTTCCATGCTGGCGTGGCCTGTGTTTGCACTGGGAGAATGGTTTGAAAACACAGCTGACAATTCTACAGCACAGCCAGTATCTCAAGCACTTTACTATTTAGAAAATAAGTCTGAAGGGGATAGAACAGCAAGGAAAAAAAAATACACGGAGTAGTATTTACAGCTCTGCAACACACAAAGCCACATACTAAACAGGCACTATGGATTTGAAGTTGTATATTGTTATTTTCCGATACTCATACACTAGTTCAGGAGAAAAAGCCCACCACACTCACAGTGTTCAAACCACACTGGTGAAAACAACTAATACTTAACGACCATGTGAGTGCAGTATTAAACCAGATGTTTGAATTCTGAGCGAGGATGTGCTCTCCCCTTCAATATTTCCCTTATGGCACATTCATCTGCAAGAAGATAAAATGCAGGCGAACATTTGCATCTTTATAAATGTTATTAAGATTCTTTTAATCCTTTGCATTAACATAAATCTCTGGTTTAATCTTCACAGTCACCAGGAATATCAAATCATTCCTTCATAATAACAAGCAAGAATAAAGGCAACTTCCTGCCCAAGAGGGCAGATCTTTTCATTGCTGCAAACAGATTGCACGTGTTTGTTCCAGTAACAATTAGATCAGACCTGACACGCAAAAAACATTCCAGGTGTTTTAGTTCAGTTGTTCATTTTCTATACCTAAGAGAAGGTTTTCTTTCATCTCTGGCAGAAATCTCCTGTGAGAATCAGATACTGGACCTTCCCCTGGTTTTGTAAATCTTCACTCCAATTCTGCATGCAGTATGCTTGCTAAAATGTCCTTTAACCACTTGAAATAATGACATTTAAATTGTCCACGTTGGAACAAGCTCCAAACTCTGCCCCAATGCCCAACTGGGACTCCCAGTAATTACCACAACTTGCATTTCACAGCCAAAAACTCCCCCCAACCAGCACTGGACCAACGCACAAACACCTAAGAACAAACCCTTGTTTTGAGCAGTTTCCCATTTACCAAGTCAGAACCAGAAAGTTCTCATACAGATAGTCTCACACATCAGTTTCCCCAGAAACATCCAATACCTTTTTTTTTTTTTTTTTCCAAGAGGGAAAAATTGTTTTAAAACACCTCATATTGCAAGCCTCACTAACAAATATTTCACACGCCTGACACCAAACTTTCACACTTTGTTCAGAGAACTGTTTGCATTAGAAGAGTAACGTGGAACTTACCTTGTTGCACGAAGCCAGTTGCCATTCCCAGTCTGCCCCAGCTCCTCCTCACCACCTCCCTGCTGCAGCTACCCCCCTGCCCCACTTCTCCACCACCCCCTGCCCCACCTCTCAGCCCCCAGGTGCTGGATGATGAGCTCTGTGGCCAAAGCCAGCTCAGCTGAGGGGTGAGGGGCTGGGGCCCTTCCCCTGGGCTACTCCAAGAAAAGCTAACGACAGGGGAACCAGATTTTTAACACCTGAGGAAGACTTTGGCAGGTGTTTATTTTGTCTGGGGTAACAAGTGTTCTTTAAAGCAAGACTGCTAAATAAACGACTTGTGTTTACGAGAAGCTGTACGTGGCCCAGCAGCATCATCTGGTTTACAGTATCTCAAGAAGACAGAAGAATCCTCCTAAGTACTTGAAGGTACTTACTGCTGGCTGGCTGCAGCAATCTGCCTTCCTTACTTTCATCACTTAACTCCCTTCCAACTAGTAGAAACAAGGCAAGAAATGGTTTCAAAGAAAAAAAATTGAGATCTGGAAAGAAAGATACTTTCAAGCCAGAAAAGACGCACTATCTGGAACAACAACAACAAAAAAAGCTAAGGCAACAAACAAGTAAACTGATATTTTCATAGCAATCAAAATGTTTAAATAAAAAGCAACTATTTTAACTAGATGGTGTTAAGTTTTCAGGCTGCTCATTTCCCTTTGGATTATCTTGTCTTTTTTTCCCCACATATAAAATCTTGCCATTTTCATTTTTGATAATACAACTGAAGTTTTTTTCAGAGTTGTCCATTCTGAATTTTTTTCCCCCACATTTTATCCTTCTCTTCATATGGAAATATATATTCCATTTCATATGGAAAGGGGAAAATTAAGATTTTGTACAAAACCGCCTACTTTCAGACAAACAGCCGAGCTCAGAGGTCAGCCCAGGTAACACCTTGCATGGCTACAATTAGCCAAAATCATTTTGTCAATCCAATTGTTGTTTTTCTTTTAATTTTTCTGGATGCCTCTTAGGTAAGGTTTTTTTTAATTTTTCTGGATGCCTCTTAGGTAAGAGATGAATTTTGTTACTACTGGACTGTTTATGGAACTGCACTCCTAGTTCCCACCTTTAAATTTTTCAGTATTGTTATTCTCCATCCATTTCTGCCCCACCTCCCTACTCACACCTCCCACTGCCCTCCAGCTCTTCCCACTGGAGTTAGTAACTGGGATTTAGAGGGGTTTGTTATAAAAGCCCTCCACACTACAACAGGGATTGACTAGGGCTGCCCTTATACCTGCACTGCCAGGGTAGGGGCAGTTATGCCTCTAAAAATGAAAAAGAATCAAGAGATTCAAGTGGATTTTCATAACTCCTTATGTCCATACCATTTCAGAATTTGTAACATGAGATTCCAACACTTTTTCCATAATAATCTCCGATATTTGAGCACATGAGACTGCACAGTATCAAAAGTAAAGAGGGATTGAGGACAGGACATCACCTTTTTTGCCACAATTTCATTTATTGGTTTACAGCTTACTTTCATAATGACTGAAGTAAAGAGTTTTTAAAGTTTTTAAAATGTAGATACTGAGTTCTGATGGTCCTGTCACTTATATATACTTATATATGTGCACATAAAGTACATGGAAGTAAAAAAAAATAAATCTGTGCAAATAGCATTATACATACTGAGGTATTTATTAACAGAAAGGTTTTAATGTAAGAACGCACAAACGCAGGGCTGGGAGACATAATCCCACAAAGATGAATTGTAAAATGAACACACGGAATATCAAACATAGGCATTGTCTTTTAAGCAGCTGTGTTTTGTTTCTGTGTACAATACTACAAATTAATTACTCAGGCCAACTCAAACAGTACCACATTATCTGGAATTAACAGACAAAAACTCAGAAGAGGTTTATTTTTTGTTGTTGTTGTTTTGCTTAATTATGGACACGAGTTGCTTTAAATCACTGAGTTGGCAGACAGAGAGCACACAGGTACCTGGGCCCAGCCCAGCCAACCACCTGGAAGAGAAACACAACTGCACAAATAAGTTGCTTTAAATCACTGAGTTGGCAGAGAGCACCCAGGTACCTGGGCCCGGCCCAGCCAGCCACCTGGAAGAGAAACACAACTGCACAAATCTCAGCTTCACCTGTTTGTTTTCATTTTGGTGACAGCAGAACAGCACCCACATCACAGTGGGGTGTTTCCAGAGCACAACGGGAGGGAGAAGGCCCAGCAGAGCCTGTTTGGGCTGGTCCTGCTTTCAGGGGTTACCTTCTGGCTGGCAGTGCTGTTTGTGGTGGCCCCACAGCCTCAGTGTGCACCTCTCTGCTCTCCAGCACACACCTGGGAACTGTCCCAAGCTTCACATGGCAAGTCATTCATGTGTCATTCATTTCTGTGCCAAGACAACAGCTACTGGTTAAGAAGGGCCAGCAATTTTCTCAGCTTTCCCCAATGGCACCCAGCAGAGAAGCCTGTAAAGAAACATCCTGAGTGGCTTCCAGCAGGATACTGCTGTGGGAATGCCCTGGAGCTGGGTACGAGAGAGGGAGATGTTACATTAACTGTACAACTGATACCTGCCACTGCTAAGTCACCTTGGCCAACATTTCTCAGAACTATCCATTCAAACAGAGGTGTCCAGAATAAGGCACATGGTTAGATACACGGCGTGGGCACGTTTTAAGAAGGGCAGGCTCTCACCTATTCCACACTGCAATTTATTCCTGAAACACGTGAAAGCAGGACAGATAATGCACCACTCCAGCAGCGAGGGCCGGGCAGGGCAGGACACACCGGCACAGACAGACAGACAGACAGCACTGAGCCCTGCTCGCTGCCATCCAGCATTTGGTTAACACACGGTGAGGCAATTGATACAGTTTGCTGTGACTCACGCCAGAGAATAAGAATAATGTTTGCTTTACAACCGGTCTAATAGAAACATTCAGCCTTGTAAAAATATCTTCTGGTCTGGTTTAACGAAGAACTCCAAATATTTAGATTAAAAATAACACTTTGGGAAGTCCTATGCATACACACAGCTCAGGGGACAATCAACTTGCACTTAGCAAGGAGCATGCACACATAAAAGATTTACCTTTCTAGAAGGTGTTAAGTATCATTTTCCAGGCCGTTTGTGCCACAGTGATTTCTCCCTAGTTCCATGAATAAGCTCTTTCAAGTTCTGCCATCCATTGCCATTTTTGCCACCGACTTCTTTTTTTAACTGAAGACACTCATGTAACAGAATTGCAGTGGAGGTCAAGTTTTCCATTATGTACCTACCTTGCATGGAGACCTAAATTCTTCTGTTTAAATTCAGGTATTACCGTAGTGCTGGCCCTACATTTCACATTCAGCTTTACACGACTCTCTATCAGTGATATTTCCTAGCAGCGTCATCATTTTTACCTGGAGCTTAAAATTATGCTGTCAAGTTATGAAAAATGAAAGAGGCTTTCACAATCCAACTTTTCCACAGTTATTTTCCCAGTCCGGGATCCCTGTCCAGATTTATTTTCACTTAATACGGGAAATTTCAACATATCCAAACATAAGTAATGTCACCAGCTGCAGAGGTGTTGACTCTCAACATACCCAAACATAAGTAATGTCACCAGCTGCAGAGGTGTTGAGATTACATTCAGGCAGAGGGAGCAGCAGCACGGGAAGCAAGGGCCTAAGGCGACCACACTAAGAGCTTGTCCCAACCCATTAAACACTAGTGGAGGTGGCTCCTTTCCTCAGATATGAAAGCTCCAGGCTACGGTTCA